ACCAATGCAGATACATATTTAGGGGGGTGTATGGATAACATAGTTATACAGGGTGATTCAAAATTGGCGTCATTCCTTTTAAGGGGTAATGGGGGCTCACTTGGAGAGTAACGAGCGTTTACAGGGGAAAGTGACCCTCCAACCAGAGATCGTAATTTTATCACGTGACTTACAGCCAATCAATACGCAGAGAAGATATAACATTTTAGGTTAGGTTAAAATTCTAACGTAAATAAAGGTAAACAAAAACAACAATTCGCATCAAATCATGCAACTATATAAATAAAAATATTATCGTTATTGTACTTATAAATGATGATTCTGAACTAGTGTCATCTTATCTGAGCGATAGTGATCGAGGATTAATTTTGGGATTTGCGAGCGGTGACGGTCGGTGTTCCTCAGTGTTCGATATTTGGTCCTTTATTTTACAATATATTTAGCTCCAATATTAAATCCCTGCAGCAGAGACTAGACTATTTTCTGCCTGCAGTATTAGCAATATCATCTTGATGCGCTGATGACACGCAGTTAAAAAATCATTTTTACGGGTCATGCTCAAACTGTAATCAATAAAATCAACAAAGATCTTAATGACCTGGTCACTTAGTCTAATAACCATCTGCTAAGAATAAATATCTCCAAAGGCGTTGCAATATTGTTTTGCCCTGAAACCAGCCGCTCGTGGCTTACTGAGAACCTGAGTATTCAACTGGGGTGAATGTATTACATTTAGAAATTCAACTAGATATCGGGGACTCATTGTGGACAGAAAATTAAAATTCAGGCAACATGTCAGTCTGTGTTTAAGAAGAGCATTTTCAAAACTTAAACTTATCTATGCGGAAAGACAAAGGCTTTACTATGTGAAATTTGTGAAACTCTCATATTGTCGAACTTCACTTTTGCAGATATTGTATACGGTTTATTCTTAAAATCTTGTGTACACTTGATTCAGAAATCATGTTTGCGTTTGGTAGGTACTCGTATATGGCGTTGGCGTATGGGTACTCGTATACGGCATACAAACTAATGGAGTTGAGATAGCTTAGCATCGTTGAAAGACGCCTTTGGCACTCACTCTGTTTTTTTATAAAATAATGAGTCAAAATGTCCACCTTATCTTCACAATAAGATTAGATTTCGAACTGATGTTCACAGTTTGAATATTCGCCGATATTTAGATATCAGAATTGTAAGTGATTGTTTTTTCTTTTGTGGAATAATAAATATTAATATTATAAAATAACAAAATAACTATTTAATATCAATCAAACAATTATATCAAGCTTAGATTTAATCTTTTCAACTTCTTGGATTGATGGTTTTGCCAGACGAGGATTGGAGACTTGTCGCTTTCTCTTTGTTGAACAAAATCTAAAACAATGTCATTAAGTTTCAAGGCAAAAAATATTAACTTTTTATCATTGTTTTTACCGAGGTTGCATTGCCGTTTTCTTATTTGGTGCAGGTCGTGTTACGGTTTTGCTGGAATACGGTAAAACTTCAAAATTCCATTTTGTTAAATTAGCAGCTGAGGCATACATAAAAGCAAAAAGCATAGAGCAACATAAAAGTTCATTTATTTTTTTAATGCATTTTCATCTGTTACGTTTTTGCAGGTATTTTTCAACAGATTAATATTTTCTTCGATTTTATCATAGATATTGGCATCGGATCTTAAAGTGTTCAGGTGCTGGCACATTTCGTTATTCTTATATTGCTGCTCTGTAGTTTCTATATGTACTCTTGATTCATTGTCGTCATTTATATCTAAAGTTATGGATACTTTATGAATGTGTTTGCACATGTTATGATGGATAATAAAATCCATACACGTACAGCTGTACATATGTATGCATGATTTACAAGCTGGGCACTTTAGGTTGCAGACGTGCTCACTATTTATATTATTTAACATGACAAAGTAGGAATCATTTTCAGATGTTACCTGCCATTCATCATTGGTAAGCCTCAGTATCGAAATATTTGTCTGGGCAACAGTTAAATGACTCTTATTATTTTTTTWTATTTTGCTTGTCATTTTACCCGTTTCTAGTTTAATTATCCTTTGGAATTGTTTGTCTCGAACGTAATTTAATAATACATGTAATGTTTTATCCAAACGCCTGCATGCAACACCTAAAACAAGAAAGATAACATTGATTAATAGCTTTAGGCTATATTATTAAGATAATAATAAATTATATTTCCATTTACATTAAGATTGGTATTAATACCTTTCAAGTAAATATGTTTTAAAACTTTATGCATCGATTCTAAATACATGTTTGTATTTATTCCAGAACCAATTCTATAACAAGACGCCCATACATTTGTTCTAAATTCATATATTTTTTTTAAATATTCTGAAAATTCTTTTGTTTCTGGATCACTTTGCAGCAAAAGCTTAAAAGATGCTAAAAGTTTTTTAAATTCATCTATGCCGGATTCTTGCCTCAATATACACAACATTTTATACACCTAAAATATATAAACAAATAGGTATGTACATTTTTTAATGTATATTTTCATGTACCTACTTCTACTTGTTTAGATTTTTCTTTTATAAGATTTAGCTTAGCCCTCCAAGCTCTATCCACATGCCATATACACAATAACTTCTTGGTTTTCGTAACATCCATTACCGCACTCCAAGCAATGAAATATAGTTCAGCATCCTCTGACATAAATGTGGCAGCTCGTACTGTACCAGCAACATTTTTTACTGCATTAATAAAAAGCTGCAAAACTGTAAAGTCTTCACTATTTGAAAATAAAAAAGCTACAGGAAACCCTTCTCCAAAATCGTCTAGCACTAAGATGGTAATCAATTTAAAATCGTATGGATTAGTGCCATGAGTAGCATCCATTCAAATAATCCCTTCAGCACCAAATTTCTTCATCATTTCGTCATAAACCCAAGAACAAAATCATCCTGATGTAACTGTCTAAACTCTGGATGCACCTCTCCTTGCTTTTTGTATAATAATACTACATTATTATTTTTGTTAGTTTGCTGTTCTATCCATATTTACTATACACTCAAAGCATCATTATTACTTTGGACAGCTGAATCATACAAATTATAACTTCTCAAGATATTATGGATATCTAATTTGGTAGTAAGACGTAATCTTTGAAAATCAGCATCAACACTCGGATTTTGTTTAAAATTTGAGAGGGAGGAACACCTACAACAAACATCAAGTAATAAACCCATAGCAATATCAAACATACGTAGTGAATAAAATATGTTTACTGAAGTATGTATATTCACCTTGAATTAACTGAGTTGCTATCATATTTTTAGCTTTTAAAGGTAATGGCATATGAGCTAGTTTAACGTCATGTCCATAATGACTTTTACAATAAGTTACTTTAAACTAATCATTATTGCTTTTTAAAATAATGACCGATGTACAAAAGAAACCAATTTTTTTGCAACCTTGAGACTCTAAAGCTCTTTTTCTTTGATCGTAAGGAAGTATATCTCTTTTACCACTTCTGCTGCAGTAGTAATATGTAGTCTGTGGGACGGGCACGTCAACATAGGAAACAAAGTGGACAAGTCGCCTAATCACTAGCTTTATATGCCAAGTCACAAATTCATTACTAACGTCTTTAAAATTATTAAAACAAGTACTTTTTGCGACTTATTAATGTTTTGAGACGGTCTGCTAACAACGATCGCAGAACAAATAAATGAATCAGACTTTAGTATGTTGTTTATTACAATTTCACACACAGTACAGGTGGTACACAGTTCAGGTGCTAATGCTGTGTGACACCTGAAATTTTTGAAAGCAGCATCCAAGCTGTAAACGTCGTCATGCCGCCCCCTCGGGGATGTTCTGTTCATTCATGAGTAAGTTGTGGTGTAACCAGCGGGAAGGTGGTCCGCTAACCACAATCAAAATCTTGGTCCGACCATGGATATTTCAGTGAGGCCCCCATGCAACTGATACGGGAAGGGATTGCGTATTAACAACCTACTGCTGGTGGGTGGTCCGCAGCTGCAGCTGTCGTGCTGCTGTCGCTGCGCTGCAACATGCAAACACATTTTCATCATCTGCACGCTGGCTTTCATGTTGCTACACTGAGCGTAGCAAATCAGATGCGCCAACCCCACAAATCATGATTGAGAACTTCTTCTGGTGTAATTCGAACCTCCTGCAACAATAAAAATATATAGTTGCACAGAACCGGAACATTGGCGCAACAGTAACGCTTTTCAATTAGAATAAAAATGAATACCTCATCCATAGTTAGCATCCTTTTCAGGTCAATGAATTCCGTGCGGTCCACTGTTTCGGCCAATAATTGTTCTCCTCCCAAATCAATAGGAACGTTCACTTGACCTGAAACCAAAGAGCACCTTTAAAGCCACATTCGGATTGCGCATCTTAGCTTATTAATTATCAATATCCTCCAAGCAGTCGAAGATGTACCTGCGGGCTTGTTTCGACTTAATCCCCGCTTCCGCCTCATGTTGTTCAGGAGTTTATTACCAGCTTATTACCGATATCATCCAAGCAGTCGAAGATGTATTTGCCGGTTAATTTCGACTTAATCCCCGATTCTGTCTGATGTTCTTCGGGCGTCTTGAATTGCCAACCATGCAATCGAGATGTACTAGTCATATCGTTGTCGAAAAATCCCGCAGTATTCGATGCGTTGTTGAGCATGTGCTCAGTGTGCAAGCCCTGCGTCTGAGCCATGTTCCATGTACCGAATTTGATCATGAGCCAGGATAGAGCGGCCTGTCTAGGAATAACTCAGTGACCACGCAACCTAAGAATCAGATGTCTATAGCATCGCAAAAGGGCAATACGAGGATGATTTCCGGGGCCCTGCGGGAAACACAATTTGAGCACTTAGTAAGTAACTTAGTAAGAGTAACGGAAGTAACGGGTTTGCAAGTAACTGTTACGCCGGGCCTTGTCATAAGTGTATGGCATTTACTTATATTGATATGTTTAAAGGTTCAATAAAAAACATTTTGAAGTTTTTAAAATTTTTAATAAAATTGAATAAAATAAATAGTGGATCTTAAATCAAGAAAAAAAAGGTTCCAAAAAAGGAATTGCTTTGTCACCTCAGAGCGTTGTACCCTCCGGGCGTTTGCTGTCATCATTGGCAACAAAGCGGAGGATTGGGAAGAGAAATGAGGGAATGAGGGTGAACGAAGACAGATGCAGAATGCTCGTGACCAACTGATGCCGGAACGGATTGCGAATTAACCCTACACTTTTATGTTAATGCGCCACTAATTTATGCTTCAGAGCTTCCTCTGGTGTACTTGAAAGCTTCTGCAACAATAAAAATATATAGTTGCACAGAACCGGAACATTGGCGCAATAATAACGCTTTCAATCAGAATAAGAATAAATAGTACCTGATCCATAGTAGCATCTTTTTTAGGAGGTCAATGAATGTCCTCCGGGCCACTTTTTTTCCAACAATTGCTCGCCTTCTAAACCAGTCGAAACGTTTATTTGACCTGAAACCAACGAGCACCGTTAAAGCCACATTCGGATTGCGCACCTTAAATTATTAATTACCGATATCCTCCAAACAGTCGAAGATGTACCTACGGGCTTCTTTCGACTTAATCCCCGTTTCCGCCTCATGTTCTGCGGGAGCTTTGAGCCGCCAAAATGGATATGTATTCTCCATATCTTTGTAGAAAAATTTCGTAGTTTTCGAAGCGATGTTCAACATGTGCTCAGTGGGCAAAACCTACGTTTCGCTAATATATCGAATTTGGCCATATTCGGATGAGCCAGGATAGAGCGGCCAGCCTAGGAATAGCTCAGCGCCCACGCAACCGAACGACCACATGTCTATGCCTCGGAAAATGGCATACTGAGGCTGATTTCCGGGGATCTGCAGCAAGAACACATTTTGAGCACTCTACCATGGATAAATCGAGCTCAAACTTACCGGTAATCACGGGTTTGCAAATAAGTGTTACATACGGCTTCGCTGCGCCTATATAAATGTATGTTTCAGAGCTTCCTCCAGTGTGATTCGAACATTCTGCAACAATAAAAATGTATAGTTGCACAGAACCGGAACATTGGCGCAATAATAACGCTTTCAATTAGAATAAGAATAAATGGTACCTGATCCATAGTTAGCATCTTTTTTAGGAGGTCAATGAAGGTCCCTCCGAGCCACTTTTTTCTTCAACAATTGCCCGCCTTGTAAATCAGTCGGAACGTTTACCTGACCTGAAACCAAAGAGCACCGTTAAAGCCACATTCGAATTGCGCATCTTAGCTTATTAATTATCAATATCCTCCAACCAGTCGAAGATGTACCTGCGGGCTACTCTCGACTTAATCCCCGCTTCCGCCTCATGTTCTGCGGGAGTTTTGAGCTGCAAAAATGAATATGGACTCTCCATATCTTTGTAGAAAAATTTCGTAGTTTTCGAAGCGTTGTTCAACATGTGCTCAGTGGGCAAGACCTGCGTCACGCTAATGAATCGAATTTGGCCATATTCAGATGAGCCAGGGTGGAAAGGCCGGCCTAGGAATAGCTCAGCGCCCACGCAACCGAACGACCACATGTCTATGTCTCGGAAAATGGCATAACGAGGATGATTTCCGGGGATCTGCAGCAAGAACACATTTTGAGCACTCTACCATTGGTAAATCGAGCTCAAACTTACCGGTAATCACGGGTTTGCAAATAAGTGTTACATACGGCTTCGCTGCGCCTATATAAATGTATGTTTCAGAGCTTCCTCCGGTGTGATTCGAAGATTCTGCAACAATAAAAATATATAGTTGCACAGAACCGGAACATTGGCGCAATAGTAACGCTTTCAATTAGAATAAGAATAAAAAGTACCTGATCCATAGTTAGCATCCTTTTTAGGAGGTCAATGAATGCCCTCCGGGCCACTTTTGTCTTCAACAACTGCCCGCCTTCTAAATCAGTCGGAACGTTTACTTGACCTGAAACCAAAGAGCACCGTTAAAGCCACATTCGGATTGCACATCTTAGCTAATTAATTACCGATATCCTCCAAGCAGTTGAAGATGTATTTGCGGGTTTCTCTTGACTTAATCCCCATTTCCGCTTCATGTTCTGCGGGAGTTTTGAGCTGCCAAAATGAATATGGACTCTCCATATCTTTGTAGAAAAATTTCGTAGTTTTCGATGCGTTGTTCAACATGTCCTCAGTGGGCAAGCCCTGCGTCTCGCTAATATATCGAATTTGGTCATATTCGGATGAGCCAGGATAGAGCGGCCAGCCTAGGAATAGCTCAGCGCCCACGCAACCTAACGACCACATGTCAATAGCCTCGGAAAATGGCATACCGAGGATGATTTCCGGGGATCTGCAGGAAAAACACATTTTGAGCACTCTACCATCAGTAAATCGGCCTCAAACTTACCGGTAATAACGGGTTTGTAAATAAGTGTTACATACGGGTTCGCTGACATAGCTAGCCGAGCCAAAGTCAATCACTTTCACCCGGTAGGGCTGGCGAACTGGGTCCACCAGCATAATGTTATCAGGTTTTAAATCTGTGTGGATCATCCCAAGTTGCTGTAATAGAAGGTCCAGTGTTAATCCGTAATCGGGGTTGTGTTATTTTAAATGTGACATGTTAGGTCTCAAGGTGTTTCATGAGGCAGGGACATTAAATAATGCCCCTGCCTCAGTTTTGGGAACTTTTACGGGAAAAAATGGTACTTTTTGCGAACAAAGTCTTGGACTTGCAAAAAAGCAAGAGAAATAGTCTCACTCATCTTCTTCTTCAGCCCGTTTGAATCTACCAGTGGCGGCGCTAAGGGTGGGCGAGGTTGGGCTAGCTACACTTTCAATAGCGATATAAGTAATTACGATTTAAAAAAATCAGATCAAATTCGACAATAATGATACTGAACGTGAAAACATTCCGAGTTGTTCGGGAATTAAAAAGTCAATTTTTAAGTACTTAATATTAATAAATTATTTTCTAATCTAAATATGGGTACTTGTTTCCTGCTAAGACAAGAGACAAAGATTTTCATATAGAAGAAAAAGAAGTCATTGATTTGGCTCTATCGCTACATGAACTTTCAAGGCAGTCGGTTCTAAGCAAGTTTTCCTACAAAAAAAAAACAGTATAGTTGTGATCTTCGTATTTTTAAGTTCAGTTATTATATCATGGCATCCTTGGATTAAGTACAGCATTCTCAAAGATGCTGTGTTCCGATTTACCTTGCAGATTTTTCTTCAAATAAGGTGGAACCAGCAGTTTAAGTTTTGTTAATGAAAGCTACAGGAACTGGAAAAGGGTTGCAGAAACAAAAGCTGCGTTTAAAAACATGATTTAGTACATTTAATCCATTTTATTTAAACTTAGAACATTTATTTCTTTAGCTAACCATTACCAATGTGATATAGTTTCAATTGGAAACGAGACAAAGTCGTTGCTAGATTCCACTAAGAGGTATGAAGTCACAAATAATCTAAAAATAAACACTTTCAACAGATCTCACACTTCTTTTGCAAGCTTGTAGTGTAGTCTTCGCTCATCAGCTGGAAAGTATGTGATTTTTGAGTAAAAATTTACCTCAACTGTTCAGATTTTTAACTTCCAAAACCAACAGGATAAAGAAACTTAAAAGGCACATGGCCATCCTATAAGCTTGCAAACGATTTCTTGAAATAACTGAACAAATGCCAACAAGGAACAAGAAAAGAGCAGACGAACTTTCGAAACCGATTAAGACGACAATAAAAAAATGTTCTGTGAGCTTGCAAATTCTATAAAAATTCTGCACACAGAACACACCGACTGATATCGAAGAAGTTTGCCTCGATTAAAAAAACATCAACTAACTTGTTCACTGGAAAATGATCAGAAAACGTTCAAGTTGCCCGCACAAATCACTTACAAAAATGCACACTTAGAAAAATATATCGAAAATTGAACAAAACGCGAAAAATTCTTCAAAAATATCGGAGTCTGTGGTCCACCAATAATCATATTCAAGATTCAAAATCCTGAAAAATATTTTACGAAGCGGTCGGAACAAACTGATTTGCATTCAAGGTAAAGCATTCCTGAAAATCGACGATTGAAAAAATAATCTAGTAAGAAGTTAATGAACTCTTGAAATACCACAAAAAATGGCAAAGGTGGACAATACGAATCTACTTATAATTTAATAGTAGTTTTCGATACAAGAGCGAAAAGTGTCGTTTTTTGATCATCGCTTCTGATCGAAAAATGGCTTTAGATTTTTAGGCTGGTTTTAGATTAATTCGAATAAAAAATCAATAATTCAAAGTATAATATATACAGGGTGCTCGCAAAATGCATTAGGTTTTTAAAGGTGATTCTACAGGCTGAAATAATAGTTGTAAGTCATGTAGCAAAAATTCGAAATCGGAATATTTTCCGAGTTACAGCTCAAAAAACTTGATTTAAAAAAAAATTCTATTCTGCACATTTATTCGCGGATCAAATTGAAAATCGGTACAAAGTTTTAGATTTGTGATCTCTAATTTTCTGAGAAAAAATAGTTTCTTCACCTTGCTTTTGGAGATGGAACTTTACTTGAAATCAAAATTTCATTTTCCCGATAACTTTTTTGTCACGTCAAATATCCCAAAACAGAATATGCAATTTTAAACACTAGAAAATACTAGACAAAAATGTACTCTTAACACCACTCGAAAAACATCGTCGTTTAGGAGCAAATCGACAATAAAGTTTTTAATTACTTGTGACTCAGTGGCTTTCTCTCAGTATTTAGTTGGAATCGCAGCAACTCAAGTCGTCTGGTTTTAAAATGTATAAAATTTGACAATTTATAGTGATTATTGTATTGGTATTTAATATTCAGACTAAATTTTTGTACGAAAAAGTACAGATTTGAAAAAGTACAAAAAAAAAAGAAGTTTGATGAGCTGTAACTGGGAACATGACTTACTACTAATATTTCAGCCTGTAAAAATTTCATAACCCATTTTGCAAACACCCTGTATATAAAAACAAAAAAACATTGAGCTTAATGCAAATCTGTAGTAATTTTGAGCAAGTAATGTCCAACCAATCTTCGAAATGGGGTAAAATATAGTTGAATATGAAAGAAACAAAGCCTTAAATATAAAGAAGTCTATTTACCGTTTAGAAAAAAAAACGCCGGTTTATTCAGTGCAATATGATCCAAAAATGTTCAAATCGATTGCAAATGCCCTTATAAAATATTACGAGAAGAAAAATTGCCAAAAACTGCTGCCTTTCCAAGACGAAATCGAAGAAGATTAACGAAAATTAACGACAGAAACTGACGAACTCTAGAATTTCCCCTCAGTTCTTGGTGATAATCGACGTTTGTCCTTATCAGCCTTAAAAAAGTCGGAAAAAAATAATGCAATGAACTTTTGAGATATTGACGGAAATTACGAAAGTGGACAGTAATCTATTATTTATTTTAAAATTTTTGATAGAAAAAATTGAAGCAAAGGAAAGATCAACAGATGAAAAAATCGAGTGAGAAAGAGACTAATAAAAAAAACAATTCAAGTTGTTGCAAATCGGTTGTCATTTTGGGCACGCCTTGGGCGTAGCAAGAAAGATCTTCTAAATGCGGAAAATACAGTCGAATAGGGTAAAAGGTTCAAAATCTTCAAATAAGAAATCATAAATGCGTAGAGAAAAAAATAAGCGTACTACTCGATTCAGCAGATCAAACCACATGAAAAAATATATAATTCAAAATAAAATTCAATTATTATGGTCGTTACCCGTCAATTGATCGTCTTTGCAATATTCAATTCACTAATTTTTCAAGTTCTCCGAGTTTTTTTGCTATTTTTTACAATACTTGATGGTACAATGCAATACAGAAGTTCAAAACACGTAGGAAAAAAAATAGCTTCAATAATGAAATTCCAAAATTTAGACCCACTTTTAAAAGGGCAAGCTAATTAACACGTTTTGTCCATATAAACTCAAACGGAAACTTGAGGTGCTGTGAGGCACGTGAGGAACAGACTTTAAAAGTCCAATTCCTTTTTGGGCACAATTTTTAGATTCTATAGAAGAAAGTCTCGAAGAATTTCTTTTATTAATACAATCAGATATTATCTTCGGTACTTTTGTGCTACTACAAGCGGTTAGGATTCTAAAGTAAGACTTGTGGTAGGTGGGTCAAACTGAACACAATTAATTGACAACCATCGTTTGTATTGGAGCAAACATTGGTAAACAATGATGTCAGTGTTTTGCAAAAACTATTAATTTCTCATTTACTGGCCCAAGGGTTCTTGTAGTCTGTAGCGCATACATAACTTGTGGGTAAAGTAGATAAAAATATTGAAATTTTCAAAAGCTTGACTCTTTCTACTATAAATAGAAAAACAGAATTACATGTGTTCAAAATGCTCTCTTTTTATAAAATGAGCTTAGTTTTTATCTTTTCCATTAGAAACGATGGTTCGTTCCCAATTAAGTTTGGGCAGTTTGGCCACGTACCACTTACATTAGAATCTTAACGGCTTGGCGTAGGCAAAAATATCAACATATTTTTTCTTTGTAATAAAACGAGAAATTTGAAAAGTATTTGTAGTAATTAAAAAACACAATCGTGTACAATTTTTTCGTTACCAATTTCGGTAGCGGGCAGGTACGCACGCCACTGGCAAAACTTAACAAAATTATTTTATTGCAACACATGCGTCTGCCCTAGCTATTCATCCCTGGGAAATTTCGTGACATTATAGACGTATACATTCATGCGTTTTCTAGAAACTTATCATTTTGTATTTTTTAAACTAAATTTCAACACCCTGTAAATCTGTAACGAAGCATTTTTGGGCTATCGTTCATATAGCAAGCTAGAGTGGTTTTCTGACCTAGAATAAGTGGCTGGAAATAATTCCCCTTTCTCATGAAACAGTTTGTATCAAAAACATTTAAGTGCGCCATGTTTTAAAAGGTTCGGTCCTCAACTAATGTGACAAAATTCACTCACATTGTTGGCGCAAAAATATTGCGTTTTATGCAAATTTTTATTTTCTTAGATGGGCAAACCCAAATTTCCTATTACTTAGCTTATAAAGTTTCTGGAGGGTGCTGGCAAGAAAGACTAGTACCATTTAAAAATAATACTTTTTTGTTGGCAATATTCCGGTGTAACAATGTTTTCCGAGTAAAAAATGTATACTTGGTTCAACTCGATATCTCTGACCGTTTTCGAGACATTTCACATTGAATCCTCTAGTAATTTTCTGAACGAACTCAAAATAGATCCTAATGTTGTCGTAAATCGACATTTTTAAAGTGGACCATGCAAAAATAGTAGTTTTCGATACATACATACGAATAAAGGACATAACACGAATCATAAGTTATAATAAATAAAAATAGCCAAAAATAAAAGGCGCCAACTTTATATTTAAAATTGATGTCAATGCCATTTTTCAAATGTCAAAAGCGTACTTTTGTAAGCATATACAAGTGAAACAATGAGTTTTGAAAATTCAAGTGCGACTTTGATAGTATGGCGTACAAGTTGCATATTTTGCAGGACGCAAATGTGGCAACATCGGCAAGCGCAGAAAAATAGATCATTTGAACGACTTAGAGATTGAACGTGTAACAAATTTATAATTTACAAATTGTAAGTAAACTTAAAACTTTAATCAATAGTTGTCTTGTTACTTTTTAATGAAAATACTTTAAATACTTTACTTTAGAAACTGTCACATAATATATGACATTGACATGTTCAATTTGTCACATTTAATTTTGCGAGCAACGTGCGTAAAAGTAAAACAATGAACAGTAAAGAAAAGTGCTTTTTTGTGATCATCGCATCTGATCGAAGTTCGTTGTTGATTCATTCGAATAAAAAATTGTTTTATTATCAGTTCAGTGCAAGACGAGATATTTTAACTTCGGCAATTACATTGAAGTTTTTGAAAATGCCCCGAATTATTTCTCATGAAGAAAAAATAGGGCTTGCGATCATGAGCAAGAAAATTTTAAATGCTGGAGGAAACAACAAACAAACCGGCCAGAGGAATTGAGTTTGCACAATTACCACCAAATGCTTTACTGCGTTTAAAAAGTAACTTAAAGTAGTTCGTAACGAGCCTAAATAAGTACTTGAATATGAGTGAATACACTTTAACAGAATATTTCTTTTATTGAGATCCAATTTGAATTAGCTCAAAAATTAGTTCAAAAAATTACCAGATGTTTCAATGTGAAATTTCCGGAAAGCGGTCAGATATCGACATATACATACCAAGTACACATTTTTGCTTAAAAATGTTGCCAACAAAAAGGTCAAAATTTAGAAACTAAAAAAAGTCTTTCTTCCCAGCGCCCTCCAGGAACTTTTAGCTAGGTAAAATTAAATTTGGATTTGTCCATCTAACAACAATCCCAAAGACAATTTTTTTGGTAATAGAAAACTGGTTAGAAATGAATGAAAAAAAAAACGAAAATTTGATTTACATTTAGACCACCTCGGAACCTATAAGCTTTCGAATAAAACAAATTTGGCCTGATACGCAATATTTTTACCTTAACAAATTACGGATAAATATTAATACATACCTTCAGTTTTAGCAACGCAGTGAGAACTTGCTGTAAGATTGGCCTGATATACTTCAGAGGTAGAGGGCTAAATTTATTCTGCTTCAAAAAGTCGTACAGACTCTGCTCCAACATCTCAAAGACCAAACATAAATGAGCTTTATGCTCGAAGAACTCATACGCTCTAACGATATTAAAATCGTTGACACTCCGATCACTCAATTTCGATAGGATACTGATCTCGATTAGACCCTGAAAACATTTTTCATTGTTTAAGCATCCAGAGGGATGAGGGATGAGGTGTAGGTTGTAGCGCTTTTGCCACCTTAAGTACTTACTTGTTGTTTAAAATACGGATGGTTTTTAAGAATTTTAATCGCGACAATCTCATCAGTGCCTCTCTTCGAGCATTTCACCACCTGCCCAAAACTTCCTTGGCCTAAAAACTGAAGTACCTTGTACTTATTTGACTTAGAGTCCAGCACCTCGTCCTGCACGATATTATAGCCGACCTCTGCATAACTTCCGGAACCTGCATATAAAAACAAGAATTTAAGAAAATTGCTCGGCTGTAGAATTTCTGGATGGGGGTTGCCAACCTTGCCAAGTTATGGACATTTTTAGACCTTTAATCAGCTCATTTCCACTCTACTCTACTCGACTTTAACCACCACAGCTCCGTTATGAATTCTATTGATCCAAAATATCAATACATTGTACAGGGTGTTAACAATATGGACTTCAATCTAAAACTTTTTAACGCAATATAACTTTTGTTTTTCAAAGAGAAGTACCTGTAAATTAATACGTCATTAGATAGACAATTCACAAAGTAACAAATTTGCATTTACACTTTAAGCTGTAAAAACAACCATTTTTAAATTATAAATTATGTTATTTAAATATTTCCAAAAGTTATTACATTTTGTAAGGTGGCTATGGAATTCATTAAAAAATTTGTTGATACTTGACATATTCAATAAAGAAAAGTGCAACGTTTCATAAAATGCATGGAATTTCATACCAAAAATGCAATAAAACTGCATACGTCTATAAAAATAAAAATATAAAATTATACCAATTGTGATATTTTAAAATAAATGTTCAATATGATTTCCGTTAACATTTAAGCAACTATTAATATCTACGTTTTTGAAATGAATCGCTAACGCAGTTCAAAACAATACTATTAATGCTTCGAAAAGCAGTTGTGATTCGTTCCTTCATGTCATCTTTTGTAGTTGGAGTTATTTTATAAATTTTGTCGTAAGCCCATGAAACAAAATCCATTTTTGTCAAATCGGGTGAACGAGGTAAATCGATTAATTGTACTCATCAATTTGAGCTGTATGGTGAACTGGAGCTCCATCATGTAAATACTACATTCATTTCTTGATATAATTAAATAAATGATTAATTAAACGTGACAATTCAAATTTTGACACTTATTTATTGACTTCCGTAGCCACCTTACAAAATGTAGCAACTTTTTGAAATTTTTAAATAAAATAAATTATAATTTGAAAACGGTTGATTTCACAGCTTAAAGTATAAATGTACATTTGTAACTTTGTAAATTGTCTATCTAATGACGTATTAATATACAGGAACTTCCATTTGAAAAACAAAAGTTATATTGCGTTAAAAAGTTTTAGATTGAAGTCCACATTGTCCACACCCTGTACAATGTATTAATGTTTTGGTTCAATCGAAGTCTTAACGGATCTGTGGTGATTGGAAAGACGTATTTTTTTGTCTCTTTAACGGCTTTTCTTGCTTCTACAATTAATTTTTAGATACCATGTTTTTAAGAAAACTTTTACGAAAATGGCGATAATCTGCCAACGTCGCAAGTAAGAAAAAAGCAATTTACGGTTCATATGCAGCATTCCATGAGCTAATGAAAAATGGGTAGTTCTATTTAAAAAAAATATACTCTGTATCATATAAGATATTTTTAAAATGTGCGCACTTTGTGCGTCAACAACTTTTATATGAAACTATGTTTCGAAAGTTCAACACCATCGGAAATAATGGACTCTATCGCACTAAAAAACAACCACCTATAATAAAAACAGAAAACCGACACAGTAATTGTTTTAGTGTCAGTATGTGGCAATGCGCTCTTATTTTTTTATAAAATTAGGAGTCATAATTGCGCATTTAGGCCCGTATTTATAAAGAATACTCAAGCCGATACTCAGCTCATGCTTGGCCAAGTACGAGATCGTTCTCAACCGAGAGAGACGATTTATAAACAGTACTTCGTGAATTCTCGGCGAAGTATCGGTCGATTATAGATGTATAGGGACTTTCGTATTTATTTGGTAATTTTATATTGGGACTATTGGCGAATTTGTCGAATTGCGACTAGTCTACGATTATCCGCTTTCAATAATGGTTCGTTTAAAAAAGGCACCTCAATAATAGTGGTCTTTGAAAACCGAAACCTTTTCCGAAATTCTACATCTGAGAAAAACTCAAAAGGATTTTTGAAATCTCATATATATATTTTACTAACACGTTGGCATTCGTTTATTTCCTCCTCTATTACGTCCAAATATTCAAAACCTTGTCCATTTTTATATTGTATACGATAGTAAAATCAAAAAATTAAAATGCAAAACATAACATAAACAGTAATATAACCTTAAAACCCGTTTGACGGTTCAACGAAAAATATCGATGCCTCAATGGCTGGGTAGAAGCAATGCTCAAGCCACCGTCGACCGATACTTGAGCAAGCAAAGCTGGAGAACTGGCTTGAGAATGGTTTATAAAACGGAATCGAAGCCAAGTCTCGTACTTGAGACCGGACTCATGCTTGAGCATCGTTTATAAATACGGACCTTAGAACACTATCTAAGCAGACAAAGAAAACGCGAATCTTGATGATTTCGATTTGACAAATTTCCATGGAGTCGGTTTTTGCGGATATGACTCGAAACTAGTGAAGTTTTCGGGGGTTTAAGTTGTCGTGCTAAAGAATGTCCTCTTAACGTTTAGCCAGCACCAGTAACTTGCATGTTCATGTTCGCTTCGGGTGTGCAAACATTGAAAAAAAAACTTTTCCACGGCGGACCAGAAACCCGAAAAACTCACCAGTCTGAAAAGTCCCAGTTAAAATCGGGGGTCAATTCAAATGAAAAAACACTTTATAATTCTCAACATTACACTACCACTAACATACTGTTTTTTGTGAGAATAATAATTAAGTAATTCGAGGTTGATATGAGAAAACCGCGCAAGGCCGTCTGATTTTTCGCCCTAAAACCAAGCAATACATTGACTGTGAAAACAAACGGACGGATTTCTGCATGCCCCATGCATCCGTTTATACGATGATATGAAAGTGATTCAATTGGTTGGAGATCTGTCAGGTCGTGCGACGACGGACGAATCACAACAGATCTCCTAGTACATGCTAAGTTTTGGTTTGAGTACATTAGTTTTGAAGCGTTTGCTGATTTATTTAACACAACTAAAATGCAAAATTAGCATCATTTTGCCGGCAAAGGGCTCGGAATCAAGAGACAGTCAAGAGCAAAATAAAGCAAAAAATGGCAAATATCTCAAAGATAAGTAAGTGGGGGATTACCCAACGTCGTAGCGCTTAATTCTTAATTCGTAAAATTTAACCTTTTTAAGGATCGGTTGTTAGCCAGTTTCTTAATCCTTCGTTTTTTACGAATGTGATGTGTTGCTGTGATATAACCTAAAATATTGTCTATATTTTGATTTATTGGTCTGTTTGCCTTTATAAATTAAATTAATTGCAATGTTCTTGAATAATCAACAAATGATTGCACTTGGCCTGACTGGAGTATTATTTACTCTACTTAGTGCAGATTTGAAGCTTAATAGGGTAGTAGGTGTAGGCGTTTTGGTGTTCGCCCCATGAATCGGAAAAGACCCACAGAAGGTCTTTTTGCCACCTTAATAAAAGATATGGTATATAGTGAGTGGGAGCAATTTTTTAAATACACAAGAATGACGAAAAGCCAGTTTTTTGGCTTACATGGATTGCTTGCTCCGTATTGGGCAAAAGATATCAGCAAATTGCATTTGGAATCTGAGCAGCGGTTTGTCCCATAAGTGAACTTGCTCTTCCACTAGGTCCAACAGTTCATGTTCCAACATGTTTCCATAATTTTCTTCTTTAATTTCAATTCTTAAGCTGAACAACCTCTTACGAACAATCCTTATCTTGAAATAATCCGGCTTGTGTTTAAATCAAAGAATCAAATAACGATTTCTATCTGTCGAAGTAGCCTCAAATTCGTTCTTTTAATTCGTAAAAGTTAAAAGTTCCGAAATTTTATGTTTGTAATTTAAAGACTTGGGTAAACGGTCTTTTTTAACCACGCAGTGCTAACTTGGATTTTATGAATTAAGTTAATGATTAAGTTGAAGAATAAACTTACGACGTTGGGTAATCCCGCGCTAAGTGTACAGGTTGGGAGACTTGAAACGCACAGTCTGGAGGATAATTTGTCGAAATATGCAGACATTCTCAAACATATTTAGGGCTCAAATAGCTACCGACACAAACCGTAAAAAACCAAACGTTTTGTTGTCAATATTCCGGGGGTTCCCATGGGAACAATGACAGCGATATTTCCGCGAACAGAGCAGCAACAATCAAATAATCAAACTTTATGTTGTTTCCGTGGTGTTCCAACCATAGAGTATTGGCGAGTTCAACTACCGATGGTGGTGCTGCGAAACGTCAAATTACTCGTTGTCGAGTGACAGTTGATACTTTTCAGCATTGTTTAATTATTGGAATTGATGACATTTATAACATAAAACAATATTTACACATTTTTCGATTTGTTTCTATTTCTTCAAAAGCTTACAAAAGTTGATTAGAACAAAACAAAACAAATTACAATCAGACGTAAGCAGCAATGTGATCCCAATGGATCTACAATGGTAGTTATAATTTTAGCCCCCACGGGGCGTTTAGTCTGTTGAACTCGCGAATAGTAACTTTATGCTTAAGCGGTATTAGCTCTTTAAAAATTATATTTTGTTTTATTTTTGCATTCTTATCTTAATTTAAAATACTTTTCGTTATAAAAAATACGAACGAAAATTGGACCGTGTTTTAGTTATTAGACTTTAACGATGAAAATTCGCCGTCGTCTTAAGACAGAAATTTTATCAATTTGGCAAGAGAAAGAACTAATTAATATTCGGTTTGCAAACTATTTGTTGAAACTACAGGGCGGTCATAATAATTGTCCAACATTGCCATATTTTCAAGCTCAAAAATTGCATCATTTTTAAAGCCACACCCCTTCATTTTGCCAGTGTATCTTACTCGGGATAAGAAAACTTTTCATGTTCGCTAATTAGTGATTATAAACCTCGGCTTTGTCTACCTAGAAGCGTATTCAGAAGTTTTTTTAGTTTTAAAGTATTTTAAAATTTCTAAATTTTAGAAATAGTCAAGGATTTCGATTTAACTATTGGAAAATTTTAGAAATAGTTAAGGATTTCGATTTGTCTATTGAGAAATTTTAAAGGTAGTTAAGTTTTTTTCGAAAATCTATTGTTATCGAGAGTTTCATATGGACAAAATGCATCCCAAACTGAGTGGATTTGTTCCGGAAACCATTATCGCTGGGAGAGAAAGAACCCCTTGTACGGAGTGTGCCAACGATAGAGTAAAGTAAGTTTACTTAACTGGTACCATTTGATTGAAAATTCATAGGAATATTTTGCTCGATTTTAACTTTCAAACTTTTTCTAAAAAACGAAACTTCGTGTCGAAAAAGTTTGCTTTTATAAAATATAAAGGCTGCGAAAAGATACCCAGCAGAATAGACGTTTTTCGAAACAATGTAAAAACTATGGTTTTAAAAAAAGCCAAATATCTCCACAACTAAACGCAACTAAGAGATTCTCAATACGCCTCTAGATAGAGGAAACCCATTTTTCGAAAAACTATGTTGCAGAAATGCAAGGTTTTCCGGTCCTGAACAAACCACACTGACTATATACGAGGTGTTCCATTCAAAATAAATGATATTTTTGAGCTTGAACATATATTAATTTGGACGCATATTATGACGGCCCTGTACCTTCCAAGACAAATATTTCCATCTGCCAAATTTAAAAATTTTGTGTAAAATTTATCAACACTATGAAAATGTTAATTTCTATGTGTTTTATTTATGAGTTCAGTAAATTTACAATATGACGATGAAAATTTCGATACCATCGTTGGAAAACCATATGCCCCATCTATGTACAGGGTGATTGAAAAGTCTGACCAAGTTTAGAAGGTGAATGCTAGCATTATTCTGAGATAGAAAGTTCTAATACATGAAACTATTTATGGTTCAGATAATTAACAGATTTCTATTTTTGCAATTTAGTCGCAACTTTTCTTAGGCGGTGTTTTAAAAAAAATGTGGCTGTCTGTCACTTTTCCCCCATTAAAATTAGCTACTTTCCCTTAAGATAACAGAGTACACCATGATGTTCCGGCTGTTGCAAAACCGTTGCTTTGGGCTGAATTTTTCTTAGACAAAAGTAGGTATTTGAATTAGTTTCGGTTAATTTATTCAGTTTTTGTTCCTTTTGGATAGTATTTTTTAATTTTGGAGCAATTTTTTACAAAACCGCATGCTTTGCTACATGAGTTAGTTGATTAGTTGGCTACGGGATGCTTAAGCTATAATTAGGTTAATAGGTTAATATTAATCGTACATTTTCGCTTACCTTGCGACTGCCCGGAGTCTGCGGTAGCTGCGGGTGGAGCTGCTGCTCCCCCTTGCTGCGACCCCAGAGGCGCTGAAAGAGTTGCCGTCGAAACCGTGGTCGCACGTTCCCAAACGTTCGAAGAATGGGCGACTCCTTGTCCCCCAGTTGCTTCCAAACACAACCTTGCCCGCTGTAAAAAAAATTGTTTCAGTTCTCCTGACTGGGCCATGTATAGGTGATAAATGGTGTCCGCCGCGATCAATATCTGGCAAACTATAATTAGGAGAAATTTCAAAATTGGACAGTGCGTCAAAGTCATTGGGGGCAAGCGGCGAAAATATTTTCAAGATGGCCACACTTCCGGTTATACCGGAAGTAGGTATCAACTTGTTTATTTTAAATGAAACACCGTATATATTATTACATTGTTGAATTCTACTCCAAATTCTAAATATATTTAATCCTTATCAAGTAATATCCTATACCTAAGTCTAATCGGTTTTGAAATATTTTAAATTTTATGTAAAAAATGACAGTTGCAGCCACTCGACTAATTATTAGTTTTTCCTATAAGAGAATATGAATTGAGTCGCATTTATTGTTGAAAAGGACTTACTTTAATGGAATTTCGACAAAATTTTGATAACTATTAACACAAAGGGTTAAAAAATTTGTTTCAAAATGACGTTGAGAAAACGACCCAAAATCAATTTTTTCAAATGGAAACCCCCTTTTTGATAATTTCATCTTATTTAGTATTAAAAATAGGGGCAAGTTTGTGTAAAGTTCTCTGTTCCAAAACTGTTTAGTTTTCGAAATATCGTTAGTTTAATGTTTTCATATAGCTGTTTTGTCGCATCTTGTTTTAAATACTGTCACTCTCTTAGTTGTCATAACGAAAGTGGCCATTTTTAATACAATCAAATGCCAAAGGAATGCTGACAGCTGTCAGTTCATCATGCCCAGACTCTTAAATTATACAAACGAAGATTATTTAAACTTAAATGAAGAACATGTGACACATTTGTTGTATATTGAATCTGTCACATTCTCCATTAATAATAAATAAATTTAAATAATCTTAGTTTCTATAATTTAAGCGTCCGAGCATGATTATTAATTATTTTCAAAAGGTAACTGACATGGCAACTAAGAGTGATACGATGCGGCAAAATAGCCATTTGAAAACATTAAATTGACAATATTTCGAAAACAACTTTTGGAATAGACAACTTTACACAAACATATCCTTATTTTTAATACTGAATAAGATAAAATATCAAAAATTGGACTTTATTTGAAAAAAATGATTTTGGGCCGTTTTCTTAACGTCATTTTGAACCTTATTTTTTTAACCCTTTGTATTAATAGTTATCAAAATGTTGTCGAAATTCCATTAAAGTAAGTCCTTTTCAACAATAAACGCGACTCAAATTAAGTAGCACATACTCTCTTATAGGAAAAATTAATAATTATTCGAGTGGCTGCAACTGTCATTTTTTACATAAAATATCAAATATATCAAAAACGATTAGACTTAGGGATAGGATATTACACATTAAATATATTTAGGCTTTGGAGTAGAACTCAAAAATGTAATAATATATAGGGTGTTTCATTTAAAATAGCAAGTTGTTACCTACTTCCGGTATAACCGGCAGTGTGGCCATCTTGAAAATAATTTCGGCCGCTTGCACTTGGCACACTGTCCAATTTTCAAATTTCTGTTAATTATAGTTTGCCAGATATCGATCGCGGCGGTTCCCGGTGGGACACTCTGTATTGGAGGCAAATTGCCAAAAGCATAGTGAATGATTGCTTATTAGAAGACAGAAATTCAACGCTAGGTTCGATAAAGTTGCATTCTGTCGCCTATCTTCTTCAATATATTTTCTTTATTTCAAGTTTTTTTCCAGAAGAAGATGAAGTCGGAATTGTCAACAAATTAACCATTTTAGATATGCGGACGGTACAATAATAATGACAGACAATATGATGATCTTCAAACTTTCATGCAAATAATAGACGGTTTGTGTAAAAAATATGGCCTCAGAATGAATTTAAACAAAACAATATTTATGGTGATCACCAGAAAAATGAACATTACCATAGTTGGTAATTGATGGTAGTCCAAAAGAAAGAGTTAAACACTACAAATATTTGGGCACATATATAAATGAAACTGCTGAAGAATTGTAGGAAATAAAATCTAGAATTGAAATAGAAAAAAACAGCTTCTTAAGCCTCTTTCATGAGGCTTAAGAAATTTTTATGCAGCAGTGACAAAAACTTGTGGTGCTATCGACGCATTTGCGAATCTCCTGGACTGATAAAATTGCAAATGTCGAGGTACTCCATCGCATGAACAAAGACAAATAAATATATAATACACTTAAATATTTCGCACATGTAAGAGAACTAAAATATAAGCTGTTGCTGAATATTATGCTGAATATTATCGTAGGAAAAATCCAGGGAAAACAAAGTCAGGTAAGGAGGAAAGAACCTCCTGGCTGAAAAACCTCAGAATGGTTTGAAACGACATAGATTGAATACTTTTTGGGGCTACCGGAAAATAATCTTACCTTTCTTGGGTAAGTTCCTGTACCCGACCCGTCGATGTTAACCGCAGGTTCCTTCCGAACCGTCAAGTCTAACGGTTGACTTTGGAAGGAACCGCGGTCCTCTGCGATTGTGATAACATCCCGAGTCACTAAGGGATTGTCCCAAGAATTGGGCATTTTTGGCTCCAAGCTCCAAAGCTGCAAAAACATGGGGTGCTCATGTATATCATGTAAAATGGGTGCTCTGTCTGTCGGTTGTGCCGTTCTTTTTAATTAATTTTAATAAAAATACACTTAAAATAAAGCACATGCAGCGAAACAAAAGCAAGAAGCTCTCTCATGAGTCTTAAAAAGTTCTTATGTAGCAGAGGCAAATATTTGAGGTGCTATCGACGCATTTGCGAATCACGTGGACTAATAAAATTATGTCGCACTGCAATGCAAATGTCGAGGTACTCCATGGTATGAATAAAGACAAAGAAATATATAAGACACTTGAACGTTTCGCACATGTTGTTAGAGAACGGAAATATCCAGAGAAAACAAAGTCAAGAAAAAAGAAAAGAACATCCTTGCTTAAAAAGACCTTGAGAGAATGGTTTGAAACGACATGGAGCGAATACTTTCTTGGTAAAAAGGAAAATACGCTTACCGTTCTTGATGGGCCGCCCGGCAATTTTGGCATATTTGTTTTTTGAGCTGGAAATAAAAAATTTATATTATTTTTATGCCAGAGAAATTATTGTGTTAAATGAAATAGTTCCAAGCAAATGAGAAACTCCCGAACTTACCGCACACGTAATCTCGACTGAGCCACTTTACATTCTAGCGCAGACCTAAAATCTCTACTGCAATTCCCCCTCCACATATTCAGAAGAAATTGGTGGTGAGAATAGGTGCGGTGCCAAGGATCACGGCGACCGTCTTCCTTTCTCTTTCTCTCACACATGATTTAAAATGGTCAGTTTTGTCAACCGGAACACCCAGTTATCGTTTCAAAACCTGTAAAAAAAATTGAAATCGTCACTTTTCGTAGCATATACATAGTTTAATATCGTGTATGGACAAGTTCTTATTTATGAATTATCATAGAGACTACATCAAACTAGATCGTATTCACAGGAGAGTCGAGCTTGCGACTTCACCAGCGGCATTTTATTAGTTAGCCACGTGCTTTCAAGCGTTTATAAGAAAGTAACAGATAAACTATTCCTTGCTTCCACTTAAAATTGGTACGTTTTCCGGTTTTTTTTGTCCGTTTCAAATTAGAAATAATTCCTGAAGTTTCCTCAAGCCGAGTACATATGCGGAAAATATCCATCCTACGAGGCGCACTACAGAAGTTTTCAAAATAGGAAGAAAAACTCCTCTTTTTTCTCAAGACTTTATTTATGTGGGCCCCATGGAAAATATTGGCGACTTTTTGGCGTTGAAATAAAGTAAGTGTTGTCAAAATGCCTGGAGATGTAGTGTTCCGTTATCGAAAAACTTTGGGAAACCCTGTTCAAAACGCACAGTCCCTACATAGCCAACCTTCATGAAAAAAGAGACCACTATTATCTCCCATGTCGATCGGGCGCGCATGTCTTTCGTTGGCTTCTGTACATTTTTGAAAACCCAAACTCAGGAGTGTTGCTTGAAAAGGGGATCGAACAACCATATCCAAGATTCGCAACCTGTTGCAGAACACGCGTTTTCACGCTCCTTCATAGAATTATTTTATAATTTTCGTACACCAATTCACATGAGACTTCTTCCCGACGTTTTTCAAAATGTGTGGGATTCATTTAGTTCTAAGCTTAGATTGATTCGCGAAACGAGTATATACGTTTGCTGGCCAAACTCAAAAGATAGGTGATGTCTAAGCACCTAAACCTTCATTTTTGCACGATTTGAGACCTTCAAGAACATTTGCAGACTTTGATTATCCTTCGTTTAGGAAATATGGATGTCTTCAATTCAATTCAGATTGATTCGCATTCCACCAAACCAATTTTTAAATCACCCAAACTAAACTATTGCACTGAATTCGTTCAAACTATCACTGGATACTAATAAAAGATAATATATCAAAATGATGAACCCAAAATGACAATTGCGTTTTGTTTGGTATAACCTGAACCTAAATACTTCTGTAGTGCCCCTCATAGAAAATTATTTCCAAATAATATACAAGCTCAAATATGTCTAAAAGGTCTGTATCTTCCGACTGTGACTGCAAATTTCGAAATCGATGTTCTGGGCCACCAAGACGTAAAAAGCTACGTTCTCACATATGTTAATTTTCGAAAAGTCTCCCAATAACCGCCTAATGAGCATCCAAAATTGCATGTTAGTTAATCTCAACAACTTGGTTATTTCAAATGGAACCCTGGATTTCTTCAATTTTTGGATTGACCATCAAATGCATATTTCAGAAATTTACGTCAGGTTTATGTTCCACGTGTGTGTCCAAATTTAGCTTCAGAAACCTATTTCAGGTAGCGATTTCAAGGGCTTTGTACCTTATTTGCCGCCTTATGCTATATCAAACGATTCACGTTTCAAAGTTAAACTACGATGAACTATTATTTTGGATACCCCTTCAATAATAATCATAAATCGCTAGAAAACACCAGCATTCCATTGAGCAATTCTTGATTTACTTTTGATGCTGATTTTCCGATTTAATTCCAACTGAACCATGCGTTTCTTTGTAATATATTTTTAGTTAGTTAGGCAACATCGCTACATTCGTCAGGGATAAGAAAGTTCTCTCACATATTGAAATGCTTGTGCCCTGCCTTTCGACGATTTCTAAGCGATAAGTTCAGGTAGCCGAATTTAGCGTTTAAATTTGACCACTACAGATTCAGTCCAATTCAAGGTCCTGCACAGTGGAACCGCCATTTGGACGGAGATGGAGTTTTAATGTTAATATGGCCTTTAAAAAGTAAAACTTCTTCTTCTTTTGGAAATCAACTGATCAACCACCTTAGATTCGACGTTGTAGAAGAAGTTCGCTACTTAGCTTTATGAATTTAAGGCATATTTTCAGTTTTTCAGAATTAAGTTTCTGTCCAAATTCTAATGCTTGTAAAAAACATTTTCATTTTCACACAAAAAAATTTCTGTTTGTATTGGCTATGTCCAGTGCTTCGGTAGAATTTCTTCTTGGCGTTCCGCAAGCACGAGTGGCTTGCATCTTCAGAAGTGGTTTGCTTGAACGCTTACAGCTTACGCCATCAGAACAGTGTAAGCGTTTAAGCTTCACCGTAAGAAGTGGTTTGCTTGCTGCTATGAACCGGCATCGTTTAATCGCAGCAATTAATAAGAATCGAACATTAAAAATATTTCAAACTAATCCAAAAATAGTGGAATCGGTTAAGTACTACAGGATATATTAAAATGTTTGTATTGAAAACTGCATTGGCCTCCTTGTCTTATATTATGAAAGATGCGAAAAATTCCTACGTTTTACGGTCACAGTATGACCCAAGCTCTCAAATGACCTTCTTAAAGTTAAAGCTAGTTATAGCTTTTCCCCCTTTTCAGATACCAATACTTTTTTGTTTTATCGTAGACGTTTTGCCCCCTTAGCGGTCGAGCTACTAACTTTAATACGTTTTCCAGTCATTTTTTTACAGCCGCTCTTTACCCTTATCGGGATACCTTGTATATTCATGCTTAGTCAGCTAAGCTTTAACGATGAGTAAAAGTATTTATTTAGCATTAATTTGCAGAACTGTCTAACATTTGTAGCTTTGACAATCTTCCGCGTTTCGATCGCTCACTACATTCTGTAAAATCGTTTGCTTTTGTTTGTTGACAGTACTTGATCTTCGGGAAATTTTTGCGTTTTACGGGTATGTGTACTACTACCACTTCCACTTCCAGAAACGTTCGTACACGTGGCAGTTCGCAAATTTCTTGAATGTAAAGCAAGTTTTAATGTTTTGCTTCTACTTTCGCTTTGGAGCGGCAAGTTTGTCTCTGAAGCGACACAGAAGAAAAACGATTCTGAACTTAAAAAAAGTACATCCTACATACTTCAGAGAAATAATTCTCAGTAGACAAAAATATTTCTACTTTCGCTTTGGAGCGGCAAGTTTGTCTCTGAAGCGACACAGAAGAAAAACGATTCTGAACTTAAAAAAAGTACATCCTACATACTTCAGAGAAATAACTCTCAGTAGACAAAAATATAAGATTGACTGAAAAAAATGTTAATTACTGTAAAATAGAAAAAGTCAAAACTAACCAAGAGCGACAGAGATTTCAAACATCATATCGCATATACTATGCAGACTAAAATTTGCATGTTTTTAACATTAAAGTCAACTTAACCAAGACGGTTCTTATCCGGACCAATAATTGTTGTCTTATTATAATATAATTGTTATTGTTAAATTGTTTATACGTTCCGTTGCAAAAAATATATCGGTATATGGTTTTCACTATTTTGTTTCATTTTGATCCTATTTCTAACTATGTGAAATATTACATATTATTCCACTTACACTCTGGCAGCCAAAGAAGCAATCATAAGGACGAATATTTTACAGCAGGAGATAAGTAAATAAAAAGCTTTTTAACTAAAATTTAATTATTGAATGTTATCAATCCGACAATATTCCTCCCTTTGATGGAAACCCTAAATTGCCTTATAGATTTGCAAGTGCAACAGAAAATTTATTAATGCTTGACAATCCTGAAGACCCAATAAACATTCATCTTTGACCCTATTTAGGAAAATGTAAAAGTTAATTTAAAACTTTTCAAAAGTGAAAGTCCTTTTAATTTTGGAATAAAGATTCAAGACTCTAGAAGTTTTCTTTTCTCTAACCTAAATTCATCGCGTGATTCTTTCGAAACAAAACACATTAAAGTTCTAGACTATGCCGAATTTACCTTAAAACGATTTTAAATGGATTACCGTACAATTTACAATGGATTGTAAGGTTGAAAAATCATATTAATTTAGAGCAAGTTTTCCCAATTTTTTCAACTTCAATAAAAATTTTGCGAGGCCACAATTTCAACCGGAAAGTAATTTTATTATTTTTCCTCAAAATTATATTTTCCTCGCTTCTCCCATAATGGAAATTTCAATACACCAAGCCCAATTATGCCTACTTATCAGAATAGTTTTAACGCTCAACAAAATTTCGACCGAACTCACAATTCTGGTCAAAACAGAGACCTTTTAATAATAATCAAATGTTTGGTCAACATTCCAGAAAAAGTAATTTAAGAAGGAATTATCAAGTAGAACCAATGGACAGTGGTTCCGGCAATACTTTAAAAATAATTCCAAACCGAAGTCCTCAAGAGATAACTTCAATTGGACAAAATGAAAATACACAAAATAGTAATTCGATTTTTGAATTAATCACTCGATTTTACCCGATGTTGATTTATATCTCCCCGGCGATTGTCATGACAATAATAATTAGTATCAGAATAATTCATATCAATATCAGCAACTTTTTATGATTTTTCGCCAGACATAGATTATTCATTTGATGAAAATAATTTGTGTGAACAAAACATTTTTTGCCAAGAAAATATAAATTTTCTCGCATTCACCCCAACAGTGGAAATAACATAATGCATTTAAATAACTTTAGCATAGAATTGCCATACGTAATCTTATCCGAAATAAACGCTAGATTTTAACTTGATATACTGATATAGCAAGTACCAAAAGTTTTATTAATCCAGAAATAGCTTAGAAAAATTTTCTCAATTTAATTGAAAATTCATGTTTTTTATTACAAACTGCCCACGTAGCACCCTTTCAAAAAGAAGTTGCTCAAATTCCAATATTCTCAAGCTTTTGTACCCCGGGAGATCAAAAAATTCATCTTTTCAACGTTTCAGAAAAATTTGACAGTTTAATAGGTTTAGACTTCATTAAACAACTGAATGAAAATGTATATTTTGGAAATTGCACTTTAAAGTTGCCTAATTTCCATCCACTATCAAGGTAAAACTATTGAAACTAATTTCACATATAATAC